TTATGTGGCTATACATTATTCCAACTATGTGAAATTTGTAACTGAAATTATTTGTTGCTAAAAATTGTATTTATTCACATATTTATTGAGACAAAATTCAAAGAAATTGGTCAAGGCTTGCGTTTATGACAATAATTTAAAATGGTATCATATATTATGGGACACCCTGTAGTACATTTTGCATCGGGATCGGCCCCATTATCTATTATGCAATTTGGCGGGACCGTTGTTGCATAAAGTTAATCATGTGTGAAAGAAGGCCAAAAACTGTTTAAATATCAGGTACACGGGTCTTGACATTTGAATATGCATGATACCTATTGAAATGTAAATTTTTGACATTGTTCATTTATGTATCTGCAGTTTTACAGTTTCTGTTAAAACATATATGATCGTTTAATGATTACAGGTCACAGGAAATGCGTAGATTGGATTTTTTTTAATTCAGATTTTTCAGGCCAGAGGAAACTGGGTCTTTGTTTTCTGTAACGTAGATAAACCTACAAGTGATTTTACACGACGGGTAACTATCATTGTGTTAATCTGCACAATGCACATGCGCGGATCTAGAGGGGGCCGGGTCGGGGGGGGGGGGGGGTCAGGACGAAATAACTTGTTTTGGACGTTCAAATGTAAGAAAAATGTTGCAGGATAAACAAAATACATGTCTTTTAAAGGGTAAGAGTTAGTGCTTTCATACTTTACACATTTAATTCTTGCGACAAGACCTATCATTTAATATCAAGACCTTTGACCCTTTGACCTTGACCTTAGAGTTTGACCTACTTTACACAAAAATCTTATCCTTGGCCATAACATTTGAACGGTTAGGGCTAGAGCATCCATACTTCACATATATATTCTTTGGAGCAAGAGCATTTATTGGATACCAATAACCTTGACCTTTTGACCTTGACCTTGAAGATTTCGGGACTTATGGAAAAACATTAACCTCGGCATTTCTTAATTACTCTTAATTTCTGAAGAGTAAGTGCTAGGGTTTTCATACTTCAAACATGTGATCTTTGTGGAAAGACTTTTCATTTGATACCAATACCTTGACCTTCTGACCTTGATCTTGAAGATTTCTGTACTTATGAAAAAACTTTAGCCTTGCGATAACTTGGGAACAAATGGTGATAGAGCTTTCATGTTTTACAATTGTATTTCCAGTTAGGAGACCCTACTTTGGGTACCATTATATTAAATTTGCATCTAAGAAAAGTTCAATCTTCACAATGTTGCCATATGGGGGCATCAGTGTTTTACAAACACATCTTGTTTCATATGATTAATCTATATTTATATTTAGCTAATTATTTATTTTATATATTAAACCCCAAATATTAAATAAACAAAGAAAAACAGAAGTCAGATTTTTTTGGGCAATATTTCGATATTTCTTCATATGTATCGATATGTGTATCATCCTCAAAGATATCTCGATGTATCATCCCAGGCATTCCCAGCCCTAGAGGGTAATAATCAAAACAGTTAATTTCATTTCAGGTTTTCTTGATTTTGCCAACTTATAATGGCCACCTCAAGCTCTCCTTACATGTCAACAGAGGAGACCACGAATGCCAATAGAACAAGTCGTCTTATACTGGGTCCATGCACTGATGAACTCCGTGATGTATTACGCCATTTTGTTCCGCCACAAACATTTCCACACGTTATCAAACAAAAAGCTAATACTAGTAGTCTATCTCGTCTAACAGGTCCACAGATGAACTGATTTCACCCAGAAATGGAACCTATACTGGCAATTATGAAGATATGGACATCTCTTTACTCTATGCATTGCTAAGAAATATATGTGGTATACCACCGCATTCAAAGGGTTGGGGTAATGATCCAGATCCAACTGACTGCTCTCCCTCAGCTTGTATTGAAACTATTCGATTGGCCAGGAATCGGTGTGTACATTCTTGTATTCCCTCCCTCTCCAACATAGAGTTCAGTCATATCTGGTCCACTGTCAGACAGCAGTGGTGAATTTAGACAACTTCCTCAAAAATGGATGTAAGTATGAGAGGGAGGTTGATTCCCAGACATGAAAACTTACTATCCTAGACGTGACCAGCACAACAAATGCAAGAGAATGCTTACAAGTTCAAATGGTATATGAATATTTTTTATTGTTGCAAAATTACCCGCTGAAAAATAACATATTATGATTTTTGTGGGGGCAAATTTTTGAGGTTTGAGAAAAAAACTGATTTGTGGTGATGTAATTTTGTGGTTGGAAAATGTTTAGTAGTAATTAATGGATTTGAAATTTTGAATTTTATGTTGGTTATAAATTCAAAGGTCTTTCCATTACATCAAAAACAGTGAAAACAAAACCTTCACAAAAATTAATGATTTCAAAGCAAATTATTTAGAAAATTTCACATAAATTAAAATTTCACATAACTGATTTATACATTACATTTTATAGGAAAGTATGAAGAAGATGCAGAAATAGTTGAAAAAAAAGTAAAGAGATTAGAAGGTAATTGATTCCTCCCAAATTGATTGAATTTTACTAATATTACCAGGTATCCAAAGTTCAAAAAGTTATATATTCATTTTTTGGCTTGGAAATGACATCAGTGTTACAGATGACCCCCTGAATGCAGCACTTGGTGACCATTTTCCCAATGTTGTGAAAATTTTGGATAAATTTATCAAAAGGGGCATGCATGGACACATATTTGCATTGCTGTTTTGTTTTCAGTTTTAATTTTTAGATCACCTGAGCTGAAGGCTCAAGTGAGCTTTTCTGATCACATTTTGTCAGTCGTCCATCCATCTGTAAACTTTTCACATTTTTGACTTCTTATCATGAACCACTGATTTGCCACTGGGCAAATTTTTACCAAACTTGGTACAAAGCATCCTCGGGTGAAAGATAATTTAAATTGTAAAAATGAAGGACCAAGTCCCCTCACAAGGGGAGATAATCAAAAAAAGACAATAATAGGGTGGGGTCATTAAAAAATCTGGTGGGCCAGAAAAGCTGAAAATTATGTGGAAGCATCTTCGCTAGCCAAGGGTTTCTGATACGCTACTCTCCTCATAAACCCTTGGCATACGGTGAAGTCAAAAGACGGGATTGTTTTCGTCACGTGATCTCGAATCAATCAGGTACGCACAGATTGCGTCATTGACAGAAATAAAGACGCGTGTTTAAAAAGATTAAATCAAAAGTTTTTTTCAAGAATATTTAAAAAGCAATAATTGAGTTATGTTTATTTATTATTTTTAGTACAAATCGGAAGCTTCAATATAGATTCTTAATCACATATATAACTCATTCTTCAGTACTGAGTTCAGATGTGTGACCAAAGGGTTATTTTTTAAAAATAATCAATTTCATAATTTATGTATATTAATTGAGTCAGTACCCTTCCTGCTTCTGAAAAAAATTGATGGGAAGATAATCTGAAGTCTTAAAGAGGAGATAGGTGTCCAAATGTACAAGCATGTCTGAAATTTTATGCACGTAACTTGGTGTCCACAGTGACTGTTTTTTAAATCAATAAGCTATTCTTTTCTGGTGAATCCTTTTTGAAGTATATAAACACTGGTTTGCATGTTTTATTGCATGACTTATTTCTACCTTATTCCATTATAATTAGAAAATATATCCAAGATTACCAATGGACACCGTTACTTACATAAGCACTAAACAAGAACATGTTACTAGAATTTAACAAGTTGTTAAAATATGAAAATAATGTATTCAAAAAGGTATGATGAAATCATGTTTAATTTTATATTAAATGGAATTTATTTAAAAAGTCACAATTTTTATTTCTAGTTTCAAAACAGGAGAAATTATGTAAGTAACATGGACACTTAACTCCGAATCAGGCTTTAAAAAAACGAAAAAAAAAAAACAAGACAATCAAACACTTGTCTTTGATATTTTAATATTTCATTTCAAAGCTTAATAATAGACTAGCTTTCAAAGAGAATTAATGCAGACAAGTAAATTGTCAGATGGATTGCAAAATATCCTAGGTCTTCTTTTTTAGTTTGGATTTTTTATTTTAACATATTTCAGTATTTCTTTAAATTGAAAAAAAAAAATATATAAAAAACAAAATACAACATGATGTAATCAACACATATGCTGTTTAATTATATTTATTATATATCCTTGATAAAACCAAAAAGAAGGCAATTAAAGTACAAATTATGTCACTACTTCAAGTTTTCGTGTCTCAATAAACGTAATTGCGTAAATGATATGGCAATATTAAAACAAATATTAAAAAAGTATTCATCCTTTGATAAGAGCAAACAAAACTAACAAATATAGTATAAAATATAGTACAATATAACTTTATCATTAATAGATTATACAAATAATGCAAAAACACATGTTCGTAACAAAAGACGCGAATCAAAAGTCAAATTTTAAAACCCAAAAATACTCGACTCGGACATATTTATGTTTTTGTATGGTCATAACACATATTTCAGTTTCTGATTAATGGCTACATGGTATAGAAATACAATGACTGTATTTATGTGTTAAAAATTCACTAAAATTGATACAATATGAAAATACTTACCGAATCTATTATGTACGTAAATTTGTCTTCCACGTGGACACAATGAGCATCGCCATGTTTTTTTGCAGACCGCCGCGCAACCTTTCTACTTTCGTTTTTAATTTATAATTATACCACTGCTACGGACTTTCTGAGCCAAACTTATGATTCATTGGCTGTTATTTTTGCAATCATACTGAAAGCTATTATGTTCGTAACGGTCAAACACCAAACATTTTACAATCAGAATCATTTTAAAATTACAAAAAAAACTGAGTTATGTTCATGAAGCATATTGTTAAAAATAATTTATCACACATACTCATTAATTAAACACAGAAATTGAACTTGACAAATTTTTTAATGCTTGTAGAGAGGTGTTAAAAAGTTCAATGCATATGGACACCATGCGTTACGAACATAAACTACAAATTTTTAAGTTCAGAAAAAAATAATTAGGATAATTTTAGCATGTTTGACAAATATATTAATTCATTATATGCTGCAAGACAATGAACACATATATCATGCCAAATGATTTTATTTTTAAATAAAACAACATCTTTATGCGTATTTGAAAAATATGTCACATTTTCTGCAATTGAAATCCCGTAAATGCAATACAACAATGATCAAAATTTTTTTATTCCTCAACTCATATCCATAAAACTATTTATACTATATCCTTACACAAGTATCCAATCATATCAATATCAATATATATGCTTCAACTTTATTCATTGGAAAATAAAGGAGAAAAGAAATATATTTTAAAAATTCACCAGTATTGAAGAATGAGTTATATAGAAGATATTGAATGACACCATTTCTATTCATACAATTGCATGTTATCTTACGACTAGTTGTTTACTTGCGTTTTTCATTTCCGAGATTAAAGAGTCGAGAAGATATCCCGAAATGCAAATGTCATCATTTACAAAAAACAATTGCTCATTGGTCGACCGATCGAGAAAAAATTAACCCAACTTCTATGAACATTGTTTGCCAAGGGTTCATGAGGAGAGTAGCATATCAGAAACCGTTGGCTAGCGAAGATGACTTGGAAGCTTCCTGGGATAGGTTATTCTAAATTGTTCAAATCATGACCTGTGGGATGGGGCAGGGGAAGAATAGGAAATCCAAGTTTTACATAGAAATATATAGGAAAAATCTTAAAAAATTCTTAAGAACCTCTGGACAAGAAAAGCTGAAACTTGTGTGGAAGCAACCTGAGGTACTAGTGTAGATTTTAAAATGTTCAAATCATAACTCGGTGTGTGTGTAGGGTGGTTGAGGGTATGTGAGTATGTGTTGGAAGTTTTGTTCCAATTTCAATATAACTTGGCACATAAATAGACTATCTAAGAAACATAATTCTGTGCATCAGTTTTTGATTTCAATGAATGGTGTTGCTATGGTTACTAAAAATAGAAATTTCTGTGAAATGCTTTCAAGATGCTATACCTCCTAGTGGGCTCCTACAGTTTTGGTCTGATTTCAATATAACGACACGCAAGTAGACTATGCAAAGATACTTAATTCTTTGCATCATTTTTAGCTCTACTGGTCAGAGAACAGAAGAACTACACTATAGTGTTGGTCTAGTCTGTCAGTCAGTCTGTCTGTCTGTAAACAATTTTTAGGTCACCAGAGTAAACTCAGGTGACCTATTGCTTATCTGTTTGCGTCTGTAAATGAGTTAACATTTGAACGTTTAGCTTCTTCTCTGCAACCACTGAACCAATTTCAACCAAATATGGCACAAAGCATCTAGGGTGAAGGGAAACAAAAATTGTGAATTTTATGATCCCTGCCCCCCCCCCCCCCATATTCATATGTACGATTTATGAAATATTGATATGTATTATAATACTATAATGGAATAAAAATGTTTGTTTCCTGTAATATGTTGGTAATATTACCCTAAAAACAAGGGGGTTGGTCGGTGGATTTTTTGTGTGTGGGTGGGGCTTATACGATCTCATAAATTGACATAATAAAATTCCCAGTTTAAAACTTTTATTTTCAGTTTCCATAATGCCTAAATAAAGGGATCAAACATCCCGGACTGAACTAACCAGGTTTGATATTTACAGTGGACACCCATCATGGCTGTCTTGCGGTAGACAAAGAAGTTCCAAAAGTTGTGGGGGGTTGCTAAATGATATAATAATGATCATTACTTTTTATATTTAAAGTGAACGTTGACTAGGTTGACATATTATATATTTCAAGTATTGTATCAGCTAATTGATCAAACACACATTTGGCAGGAAAACAAATCCACCAGCTACATTTACAGCAATTCAGGAAACAAATGTAATTTTTTAAAGTTCATGATTTTTTAGTTGGGATCAAAAAATAAAAGTGAAACCTGATTAAACACATTAATAAACAAGAAAAATCTGTAAATTTGTTGCTTGATTTGAACTTTGGTCGAAATATTTTTACACGACCAGTCGGGCTACCGTGAAACAAAATAAACAACCCGGACCTAACTTTTACTAGTCTGAGTCGGTCAGACGTGCCTTAATGTTGAGCCCTGGCATAGTTATGATGAGCAAGAGTGCCTCTACAAAAATTGTGAATTTTATGGCCTCAGGGTTTCTGGTTTTAGGGCGGGGCTAAATAAGTATATAGTGAAAATACATGAATTCTTTGAGAATCTTCTTCTCTCTGCTTCTTGGTATTTAAACTAATTAAGTGCATAGTTATGATGAGCAAGAGTGCCTCTACCTAAATTGTGAATTTTATGGCCCCAGGGTCAGGGGTTCTGGTGTTAGGGCAGGGCTCTATAGATTATATAGTGAAAATACATGAATTCTTTGAGAATCTTCTTCTCTGCTCCTAGGTATTAAATAAACTAACTAAGCACATAGTTATGATGAGCAAGAGTGCCTCTACCAAAATTGTGAATTTTATGGCCCCAGGGTGACTGGGTCAGGGGTTC